AGTGATGGGGTGGTGATGGGGACAGGCATGGAGGGATGATGGGGGTAGAGATGGGGTGGTGTTGTGGACAGGGATGGAGTGATGACGAGGTCTCAAAGAGGTGACAGTGGGGATGGGAATGGGGTGGTGATGGGGACAGTAACAGGGTTCAGTGGGTGCAGCAGTGGGGTGGCAATAGGGACAGGGAGTGGGTGGGGATGGGGACAGGGTGTCATCACCACTCTCTGCTCTCCTTGCCAGGGTCCAGCAGGTCCTCGCGGTCTCCCCGGCCCCCCTGGCGCTCCTGTGAGTACCCCCCTCCCTTCTCCTTTTGGGGACAACCAGCCCCAAGGGCCCCTTGGGGTGGGATGGGACGGGGGGAGGGCAGGACAGGGTGTCCCACCCTTCCTGATGGCTACGGAAACACGTGGGGGTGCACGTCCTCGTGTCACCATATGGGGGACACTCCCCCTCCCATTGCTAGAGGGGTCTTCAGACCCAGTTTTCTCATTTTCTAACCCTTTTTTTTTTCCCCATTTTTCCCTTTTTTTCCCCACCAACCTGCAGGGTCCTCAAGGTTTCCAAGGTCCCCCTGGTGAACCCGGTGAACCTGGTGCTTCTGTGAGTCCTGCCACCTCCTCCTCCTCCTCCAGCCTGATGTCACCTGGGGATGGGGACAAGGCTGTCTCCGTGGGAATGGGGCCTCCAGAGCCTGGCACTGCTCAGCCTGGGTGACAGGGTGACAAGGGACAGTCGTCCCCCACAGCATCCTCACCCTGCCCTTCATCTCTCCTAGGGTCCCATGGGTCCCCGTGGTCCCGCCGGTCCCCCTGGCAAGAACGGAGATGATGTGAGTGGCCTCTAGATGTGGTGTCCTCCCTCCTTTCCCCAATTTTGGGGTCTGGTGGCCCTGCCAGCCCCCCACCCCGGCACGCAGGAACCACCTGGCTTGGGGACATGCCACCAACCTGATGTCCTTGTCCTCAGGGTGAAGCTGGAAAGCCTGGGCGTCCAGGAGAGCGTGGTCCCCCCGGCCCCCAGGTGAGACGTTCCCCAGGGGGCACAGGAGGGGACCCCCCAACATGAGCTGCCCGCTGGCAAAGCAAAGATGTGACAGCAGCTGCCTGCCCCTCCCGGGGGACAGGGGTAAGGGGGTGTGGGCACAACCTCCCCTGAGCCTCTCCATCACCACCTCTCATCTCTCCTAGGGTGCCCGTGGTCTCCCAGGAACCGCCGGTCTGCCAGGCATGAAGGGTCACAGGGTGAGTGTCCCCCCCACATCTGCAGGATTTAGGGGATGGGGGGAGCCTGACCTCACCGAGGGGTCCCCTCTGACCCCCCTTCTCTTCTCTTTCCTGCTCCTCAGGGTTTCAGTGGTCTGGATGGTGCCAAGGGTGAGCCTGGTCCTGCTGGCCCCAAGGTGAGGAGCGTTGGCAGCGTCACCTCTGTCCTCTTGGTAAAGTCCCCCCCATCCTGCATCCCTCCCGAGCAGGTCCCTCAACCTTGTCCTTCCTCCTAGGGTGAGCCTGGCAGCCCCGGGGAGAATGGTGCTCCTGGGCAGATGGTGAGTGCTGCAGCCCCTGGGCACCGTGGTGGGGGTCTGGCCTCGGCCAGGGCACGGGGCTGGGGCTGGGGGGGCCAAGATGTGATGGGCAAACATATCCTTGGGGGTGTTTCCCCAGGGAATGGGGTGAGGAGGGGCTCTAACCCCCTGGAAATGTCGCTGTGGGCAGGAGCAAGGGGAGATGGGGGGCACAGGAGTGGGAGGAGGCCCCCAGAGGTCCTCCTGGTGACCCACCAGGTCCTTCCTGTTGATTCAAACATGTCCTCTCCCCTCCCCAGGGTCCTCGTGGGCTTCCCGGCGAGAGAGGCCGTCCTGGTCCATCTGGCCCTGCTGTGAGTAGCTGGTTTGGACAGGGCAGAGCATCCCCTGCCCTGGGGGATGTGGGGGGGCTGGGGGCCACCTCTCCTGTCAGTGGGCATGGCTAACGGGTGCCCTCTGTCCTGCAGGGTGCTCGTGGTAACGATGGTGCTCCTGGTGCTGCCGGTCCTCCCGTGAGTAACCTCCAAACTCATCCAGCTCCAGCATCACCTCCAGCTTCCGTGGAAGCTCCACCATGGCCAGGAGATGCTGGCCCAGGGCCAGAGCTCTGCCAGGGCCAGGTGTAAGGTGGGATCCCTCCTCTGACTCGTGCCCCCTCTCCTCTCTAGGGTCCAACTGGTCCTGCTGGTCCCCCCGGCTTCCCCGGCGCTGCTGGTGCTAAGGTAGGACCTGCCCGACCATCTCCTCCTAGGTGCCATCTCCTGGGCTGGGACAAACTGGTGGAAACTGGGAGAGTGGGGTGGGGGTGAAGGACTGAGCATCGAATGGGTTCCCCACGTGGCCCCAAAATGAGAAGAGCCGTGGGGTCCCCCCTGCCCGGGGCTGGGGGCAGGTGAGGGTGTGCCCAGACAAGTCCCAGGGGCATCTCTGCTGGCTTTGCCTCCATGGGAAAGGAGCTGCAGGTGGAGGGGAGATGAGGTGCTTCAGGGGGTTCAGGGCAGTCCTCATGCTCACGGCTCTTCCTCCCTCCTCTTCCTCCCCAGGGTGAAACTGGTCCCCAGGGAGCTCGTGGCAGCGAAGGTCCCCAAGGTGCCCGTGGTGAGCCCGGTCCCCCCGGCCCTGCTGGCGCTGCTGGTCCTGCTGTAAGTGGCACCTGATGGCTCCTCATCCTTCAGCCTCACGTTCTGCCAGGCCCGGCATAACCCTCCTCTTCCTCTTCCTCTTCCTCTCCACAGGGCAACCCCGGTGCTGACGGTCAACCCGGTGCCAAGGGCGCAATCGTGAGTGCCCCTCGCCCCCGCCTGGCTCTGGGAGGAAGGTCCCTGCTGCTCCCTCACCACCTCCTCTGCCTCTCCTAGGGTGCTCCTGGCATCGCTGGCGCTCCCGGCTTCCCCGGTGCCCGCGGCCCCTCCGGACCCCAGGGTCCCAGCGGTGCCCCCGGCCCCAAGGGGAACAGCGTGAGTATCCCCGGGCACCTCCATCCTCCTCCTCCTCGGGGGGTCGGATCCTTCCTTCTGCTCCAGACGTCTCCTCTGGCAGCCCTGGATGGTGCTGAGGGCTGACAGATGCTGAGCATCCCTCCTTCTGCTGAGGGGCTGGGCAGGATGTGGCTCAGGGGGGGTCTTTGCTCCTCCATCTGGGGCTAAACGGCTCTTCCCTCTTCTCTCCTTCCACCCCCAGGGTGAACCTGGTGCCCCAGGCAACAAGGGAGACACCGGTGCCAAAGGCGAACCTGTAAGTGACCCCCACAGGTCTCCTCTGGGGCTCAGCCCCTCCTGGCTCCCATGCACCCCCCGGGTCCTCATCCCTTTGCCTCCCTCCCCAGGGTCCTGCTGGTGTCCAAGGTCCCCCCGGCCCAGCCGGTGAGGAAGGCAAGAGAGGAGCCCGTGGTGAGCCCGGCCCCGCTGGGCTTCCTGGCCCTGCTGGCGAGCGTGTGAGTAGGAGCATCCCACACCCCTGTGCCATCCCACCACCTCCCCATCACCATCCTCCTCCTCCTCCCTGTCCAACGGCTGAGCTTTGTGGGGACAGTCACCCCCATGGTGACACCCTCAGCCCCTCTGATGCCCCACCAAGGTCTCCAGTGGGGATGAGTGGCCGGGGCCCACCTCGGCAGCCCCCCCAACCCCCTGGGGTCCCCCCCTGTCTCCCTACTGACCCTCCTCGTGTCCCCCACAGGGTGCTCCCGGCAGCCGTGGTTTCCCTGGTGCTGATGGCATCGCTGGTCCCAAGGTAGGTGCCTCCCTGGGTGAAAAAAACATGCCCTCGGTGGGGCAGTGGGCACAAGGGGCATTTTTCACCCACCCCCACGTGGTGACAAGATCATTCCCGTGCCACTGCCACCTCCTGCAGCGAGGTGACCTCTGTCCCCTCTC